GAGTTTGTCGTGCACCAGGATCTTATCTAGTCTGTTGTTTAGCATGCATTTCCAGTATGATATAGGTTCAGGTAGTTTATTATCTGTTTTGATCCTTGCCTCTTCTGTGAATGAAGATCATTTTTGCCTGCTTGAGGCATCGGGAAAGCAACCAGCGGATAAGGCTGAGCAGAAGCTCGGGGCAGGTTTATTAACATGTTTTGCCAGGCTGCCCATTCCAGGAGATTTTCAAATTATGTGGCATTGTAATAGTTCGTCGATTATGAATTTTGGGTCTTTAGTCTTTTCTGGGTTTCAAAGTTAGGAGTCACCTGCTGCTTTTGTTCTCTTAAAGGTCATTAATTAACCTCTTTCAGCCCTTCGTCAAATTTTCGTTTTCTTCTGGATATTCTGAAGGATCTTCTTTCCATTTCTCTGAAGGCCTCTTTTTTTATGGTCTGTATAGAGTTGGTCTGTTTTAATTTTTTACTTAGAGTTTATTGTCTGTTTTTTTCGTGCCAAGTAGTTTGTTGATGCTTGCTGTAGTTTTTGAGTTCGTTGTGGTGTCTGGTGTTTTATTGGTTTGTTCTATTTTGCCATTAATTTGCCTGTACTCTCTTTGTAAGTCTTTGCTGGATTTCTCTAGACATGAGTGATCTCAGTGGCCCAGTTTGTTCTATAAATGTCCTAAGGTTATAGTATTGTACTTGTAGTCTCAATTCTTTCGTTGGTCATTACTCGGAGTGGTCGGTGTCGCGCTTGGGGTTGTCTGGTTGATTGCTTGTTTTATTGTGTTATGTAGCTTGTCTACTTCTTTCGCTCAATTTCCTCGAGAGTTGCATCTTTAGATTTATTTGTGAGTAGCTTCAATAACTCCTTATATTTCATCCAGTCTGTTTTTGCCTATCTGGAGCCTTGCGGTATTTCGTTTGAATTGGCTGGTGGAAATTAGAATATTATCGGAATGTGTCGCTGGGGGAGAAATTTGTTCTGGCGGTAGTTACAAATGCTGTTGTTGTTGCAGAAGATTTTGTCGGGTGTTGAACGCCGCTTGGTCCCATCCAGGGTGGTGCTGGAGGTCCAGTAAGAAGTCTGCCAGTGTTGATTATATGTCTGAATGCTATGCCTTTCGGTTTTCGCTGCTGCTAAAAATGCCAGGTTCGGTATTGAAATCTCCCAGGATGTACATTGAATATTATAATTGTTAGCTCTGCAAGTCTTCTATAGGAGGGCTATTTCTGGGGTAGGTATGTTGTTGCGATTATTATTTCGCCCTGTGTTGTCTGGTACTTAATGGCAAGGAATTTGCTGTTAAAGTTGTCTATTAGTATATGTTTGATACCTTTTTTCACTGCAACATCATCCCTTCTATGTTTTTTCTCCACTTTGTTCGATTGGTGGGTGTCGTAGCAATATTTTGATTTTGCTGTTCTCGTTCGTGTGCACTTATCAGTATTACATCTAGTTGTTTTCATTTATATATTACAACCGATGTTTCCGGTATGTATGCCAATCATGACAGCGAGGATTTTATGTTTTCAGTTGGAGATGGTCCATTATTTTCTTTCTGGAGGGTTAAAGAGGGGGTGATCCTATTTCGTTGAGTCCAGATGATTTTTTTATGCTCAGCTGCCGTGATTACAATAAATCTTATGCCGAATTTGATTTGGTCTTTTAATGATGTTCCATACCGTTTCTTTACGCACGCCTGTTCGTCCATATTGCCAAACTATTTCAGGCCGTTATTGCTTTCATTTAACTTTCCAGTTGGTTT